TCAGGTGCCATTACAAACGTGATGAGTAAACAGAAGGGGATATTGGCCTCAATATATTTGAAATAATGAAAATATAGGTGAACATTTTCTGTTTAAAGACTTAGCGTGCTTGCGCTCGCTCACTCTGTGTGTGTGTGTGTGTGTGTGTGTGTGTGTGTGTGTGTGTGTGTAAAAGAGAGAGAAGGCCACTGAAGCACATGCAAACCTCCTTCCATCATTATGTTCTTCAAAATTACGGTTCCAACAAGGACATTTAATGAAGCACGGTCAGAAAAGTAAGTATTTCATTGTCACATTTCTTTTTATTTTCTCTATATCTAGACATGGAGCTCCGGTTGCTTAGCGGTAAGGAGTTGCACTGTCAACTCAAAGGCACATGATTTAAATATACCAATTGCTCCATGGGAGAAAGCTTCGCAGTCTTACTGGGCCATTTACAGCCTTCAAAAACTCATTGGAGGGTCAGCTATGAGTTGGCTCCAACTTGACTGTACCTAACAACAATAGCAACAAATGTAGAGAGAGGCTGAGTTTGTTTTCAAGTTTGGAATTCAGTTAATAAGAATTGATATTTCAGAAATATAGAACTTATTTTTGTACACTGTTATTCTGGATGTACATGAAATTAAAATTTGTCTGCCATTATCATGTTATCTCAACTTTGAGGAGATCAAACATAAAATATGAGTAGATAAGACTGGGTCGTGCGCATGAGCCCCGGAGGGCCGGGGAGGCACCAGCTGCCGCGTGGGAGGAGGCCGAGGCCGCAGCTTGAGGGAGGCCCCGGCCCCTCTGCGCCAGTGTCTGGCAGAGCCTGTGTGAGAAGAAGAGACAGTCCTTCACTACTGCCCGGATAATCGAGAGTTTTGGCCAGACCTTTGAGCGCACGCTGAGATAGTGCAGAGCCCGACGAAAGCACAGACTGTGGCGCTGAAACAGATTAATAAGGAACTTAGTGATTTGGCTCGCGATCCTCCAGCACAGTGTTCTGCAGGTCCAGTTGGAGATGATATGTTTCATTGGCAAGCCACAATTATGGGACCTAATGACAGCCCATATCAGGGAGGTGTATTTTTTTTTTACAGTTCATTTTCCTACAGACTACCCCTTCAAACCACCTAAGGTTGCATTTACAACAAGAATTTATCATCCAAATATTAATAGTAATGGCAGCATTTGTCTCGATATACTAAGATCACAGTGGTCTCCTGCTTTAACTATTTCTAAAGTTCTTTTATGCATTTGTTCACTGCTGTGTGATCCGAACCCAGATGACCCCCTAGTGCCAGAGATTGCACGGATCTCTAAAACAGAGAGAGATAAATACAACAGAATATCTCGGGAATGGACTCAGAAGTATGCCATGTGATGCTACCTTAAAGTCAGAATAACGTTCATTATAGCTGGAATAAACTTTAAATTACTGTTCCTTCTTTGATTTCTTATCTGGCTGCTCCCCTATCACACCTCATCTTTTTTAATTTTATTTTTTGTTTACCTCCCTCCATTCATTCACATGCTCATCTGAGAAGACTTAAGTTCTTCCAGCTTTGGACAATAACAGCTTTTAGAAACTGTAAAGTAGTTATAAGAGAACAGTTGCCCAAGATTCAGAGGTGTTTTGGTTTTGTGGTGTTTTTTGTTTTTGTTTTTTTTTAAAAAAGGAGCATGTGTATTATGTGGCCAATGTCTTCACTCTAACTTGGTTATGAGACTAACATCATTCCTCACTGCTCTAACATGCTGAAGACCGATAGATACTACGGAAAAGACGAAAAATAGGAAAGATGACAGAAAACACAACTCATCCCAATAATATCTTCAAGAAATCAAATAACACAAACATTAAAAGTTACCTTACAGGTCACCTAGACTCATGATCTTTTAAAAATAATTTTGCCTCTCTTTAGAAGGTAATGTGAACTATCTCAGTCCATGAGAAGCCTCTTTTCCAAGTAAACACTGAATGAGGCTTAATCCAAGTATATGTCTGAAATACACTAAGGATTTACGACATAGAAAGTCTGTGAAGAGCTGAACCTCCTTCACTCTGGTAGTTCTCTAAGTGAAAGCTGGTCGTTTACAAAGGTTTAATTGTAAAGGACCATCTGTTTATATTAATTGAAAACACTACTTATAGAAGAAACTCAAAACTCATCGCCTGTGACTGAGGAACAACTCTAAGCTGACCCTCCCATGAGTTTTGGGGTGACTGCAAATCACACAGGAGGAGATTGTCCATCTGTCTCCCATGGAGCTGCTGGTGGATGTGAACTGTCTGAGAGGCACTGTCTTTGAGTTAGCAGCGCAACTCTCTAAAGAGAACTCCAGAGCTCTTAGATGAGAAAAATGAGAACAGTTCCTTCACAGAATTGTTAAAATATAAGCCAACTAAAAAATAACTATATAAATAATTCTTATGTTCCCAGAGACACCTTCCCAACATTAGAAAACATAGGCCTGTGGGTTTAAAAAAAAATATTCAAAGAAAGCAGTGATATATCCAAAATATCTGAGATCTGATCTAACCTGGTAAGTTTAGTCTCAATATTAGGAATATTGACTTAATAAACTCCAGGAACTAAAATATAATTCATTATATAAAATATAACACATTATATAAAATATGTTAGACATTTAATGTTAAATTAATTGGGGTTCAAATACTTATATTTAAAAAAAAAATCGTGTTTCCTAGCTTGATAAAAGAACAAGAGATTTAGTAAAGAGAAACAGATCACTGTTGAGACCAGAAGTCCTAAGACAGGAAAGGCTGGAGGAGGAATGCCAACACCCAGTGGGAGGATAGATGGGAGCTCTAGAATTGAAAGAAGGCAGCCAGGAAGGAAAGAAAGTTAGAAAGATAAGTTATCTCCGAGAAATGAGCATGGTCTATCAGGATTTTTTGGCAATGAATACTTAGACTAGGCAAGGTACCACCTCTCTAGTAAATCAGTTCTCCCATAAGCTGAGAGGGGTTTCCTGGTCTATAAATATTTCTATGCTTTCCATGCTCTGCCCTTTGCTAACTCAATTTATGCTAATAGCTGATACTGCTGTCTCTAGTAGTCAAAAAAGATCCTGAAGAAACTAACTGCATGAAGATAATAAAACATGAATAAGAATTACTGTCAATTTTTAAAAATGAGTACTTATTGTCCAAATCCAAAGTTGCATTTTCACAGTTATCTTTCTAAGTCAATGAACATGTACTAAAATGAAATATTACCTCCCATCAGAAGCCTCTTTTCCAAGTAAACACTGAATGAGGCTTAATCCAAGTATATGTCTGAAATACACTAAGGATTTACGACATAGAAAGTCCTTGAGAAAGCAATCTATTCATACATAACGCTGAAATTTCAAATATTAAGCTCTATGAGTAATAACTGCTCATTTCATTCTTGTCTGAGTGAATAAATTGTGATTATTTAGTTAGGCAATAGAAAAGTAAGGTAACCTAATTTCTTTTTCTTCATTCTTCATTGGGAACCCATGCACTGAGTAGAAATTGGGTAGGTAGGGCTTACCGAATATGTCTAAAATTTCTCAGATGATAACAAGTTCCCACTAACTAACCAACCACAAAGATATATTATGAGTCAATACGTTGTTATTTTTTAATAAAAGCAACTCCAGAGAGAATGCATTTACCAGATCTTCTTTTACAGGATGGTTGTTTGGGAGCAGCTGTTCAAAATGTGAATCTCACAGAAGGCAAGTTTTGACATCAAGTAGAGGGAATCTTCCTGAACTCGTTTCTCTCTCCATGTAATAAAATTCCTAAGAAATGTGAAATAGTAGATATCAGGGAAGTATTAAATTAGTAGGAGGAACTGACAATAGTAAATACCAAGGGATAAAAGGGGATTTTTCAAAACATGTTTACAAATCTCAGTTCATAAAATACAGTATGTTTCCACATGATACTTGAGCAAATTACTTATTATGAGAAACTAAGAATAAGGAGCAGGTTTAGAAGGTTGACAGGTAAATTAATGAGGATAGAGGACTTGAGGAAAGAAGCAGCAGCAATTGCTGAAAAAGGAAATCATTAAGATGTGTCCCAGACAGACTGAAGACTGAATGCTGCTGAGAAGAACATCCAGGTCAGTTAGGCTAATAGAAAGCCTGACTACCACAGATCATGCTTTCTAAATTCTGGCCATGGTCCAAATACCATAACAGCACTAACTGAGTTTGTTCTTAAGTCCTGCTAACATTTTCCAGGTATTATTATTTCAAGAAACCTCTTGTCTAAGCAGATATCTTCTGGCTTAGAAATGTTTTTTTTTCTTAAATACAAGAAAAACAAAACAAAGATACAGCTTTGTGTTTTAAATGTTTTCTCTGCTTACTTGGAGATAATTGTAGGTGTAAAGAGCTGAAATTAAGCATAATAGCATAAACGAACACTAAAGATATTATTTAACAAAATCTACTTATTTATAAAAGTGTATCCATATTGTAAAAAAAAAAAAAAACAAAGGAGCAAGGAGAATGGGAGGGGGAAATATAGATAGATATACATATGATAGTTTCTAATCAGAAAGGTATATGATCCATATTTAAATGTTCCCAACAGAAAACTCCTACTAAGAAGCCAAAGGAACTTCTACATTGTTGTTATTATGTGCCATTGAGTCACTTGAGACTTATAGCAACATCATGCATGGCTGTTCTTAACTATGTCCTATCCTGAGATAACCTCACTATCTCCAACAAAATTACTCCCATTACTATGTTAATTCATCTGCTCAAGGGTCTTCCTCTCTTGCACTGTCCTTCTGTCCTTCCAAGCACAATATCCTCCTCTAAGCACTGGTCTTCCCTGACAAAATGCCCAAAATATATGAGATGGAGCTTCAAAATCTTTATCTAGTAAAGTAAGAACATTAATGTGAACTAGCTTATTTATAGCTTTCATTCAAGTTTCATGCTAGCTTCTAAAGTGCTTCTCTCTTCAGGTCTATTTGCTCTTGACTTGGCAAAAGTCAGTGATGAGAAATCATACAGCAATAACAACATTCATACTTCTGGGATTAACAGATGACCCAAAACTACAAGTTCTAATTTTTATTTTTTTGTTTTTCACTTATATAATGAGTGTTACTGGTAATCTAACAATTATCAGCCTCACATTTTTAGATTCCCATCTTAAAACGCCCATGTATTTCTTCCTTCGAAATTTCTCTTTCTTAGAAGTCTCATTCACCACTGTTTGTATCCCCAGATTCCTGTACACTATGACAACTGGAGATAATACTGTTACCTATAATGCTTGTGCTACCCAATTGTTTTTTGTTGTCCTTTTTGGAGCAACAGAATTTTTTCTTCTAGCAGCCATGTCCTATGACCGTTACGTAGCCATCTGCAAGCCCCTGCATTACACAACCATCATGAACAATAGGGTCTGCACTACGCTGGTTCTCTTCTGTTGGGCTGCTGGCCTGTTGATCATCATCCCACCACTTGGCATGGGTCTTCAACTGGAATTCTGTGACTCAAATGTGATTGATCATTTTGGCTGTGATGCATCGCCTATCCTGCAGATAACATGCTCAGATACAGTATTTATAGAGAAAATTATTTTGTGTTTTGCCATCCTGACTCTCATTATCACCCTCGTGTGTGTAGTCCTCTCCTACACGTACATCATTAAGACTATTCTAAAATTCCCTTCTGCACAACAGAGAAAAAAGGCCTTTTCTACCTGCTCTTCCCATATGATTGTTGTTTCCATCACCTATGGCAGCTGCATCTTCATCTATATCAAACCATCAGCAAAGGAAGGAGTGGCCATTAATAAGGTAGTGTCAGTGCTCACTACTTCAGTTGCCCCTCTGCTTAATCCTTTCATTTATACACTTCGAAACAAGCAAGTGAAACAAGCTTTCAAGGACACCTTAAAAAAGATCGCTTTTCTTACAAAGAAGTAAAATTGCTGGTATTGTGAGTCTAAATTGAATAAATTATGAACATTTCTCACAAATTTTCCAATCATGACCTTTCTATTCTGTAGACATGTCAAGCTAACTTTTCTAGTGAACATTTTTCTCTTATAATCAGAAAACCAAAATCAAGCTGGTTAGTCCTTTTTTAAAAATTTAGAAAGGTTTCTTTAATTAATGTGCATATCAGAGACTAGATAATGAAAATGTCCAATGTCATAAAAACAAAGAAATGTAAATAATAAAAAGATTTCTTCTTGGCTATGTGTCTTGCTCATGTGTGGATTCTAAAATCCCAGAAAGTATTTTTTTCTACTTGGAAAAACTTCAGTATCTGAATTCCCATTGTTTAAGAATAATTAAAAATTATTCAATGAACCTAAAACTGATCAAAAAAATTGTTTACTCCAGGGGTCTTTGCATTTTTAAATGTTAAGTTTCCAAGAGTGAATAAAAAGCAGTAATGGGGGGGGAAGCAGAGACAGCAATAAAACAAAATCAGTTGCTACTGAATTTTGACGCATAGAGGCTTCATATTTGTCAGCAAAATAGTGTTCCATTGAATTTTTTTTATTATTTTTTCAGAACTAATGAATGTCAGATCTTTCCTCTAACTCCCCTCTGAGTATAACTGAACCTCCACTTTCTTAGTTAAAGCATGTTCACTATTTGGGCCACTTACAGGATACAAAGATAGTAAAGATAGTTATATTTTTTTCCAAAGTGTATTATTTACAACATATGTCTACTGACTTTTGTGGTATTATTTGGGTAATTCCAATACATATTATAATTAGAAAAGATACAAAACAAGATTTACAAGTGTTGCATGTCTTCTACTGACATAGACTGATGATAAATAGAGTAAGCCCAAAAATACTAAGTCAATAATTTAGGGGCATGACAAGTATACTTTGACTGGATAAATTCTTCAGTCACTCAGATTTCCAGTATTCTTTGAGTTAAGAATGCTAAAGATTGGCAAGATTGATGAAAACAAATAAAAAGTTTATAATTTGGTAGGGTGTTCAGAAGGAATTTGTTGATTAGTATAGGTTGTCTACTAAAGATAAAAGTCAGATATGTTGGTGTGTGCCTTCGAGTCACCTGTGACTCATAGCAACCCTATATAAAAAAGTTCTAAAGTCTGTCCTGTCCTGAGTCAATCTCACTCATTCTGACCCAACTATCCATATTTCCCTAGTTACTGTACCAGTTCATCTCATTAGGCTCTTCCTCTTCTGCACTGTCCCTTTATCCTTCCAAGAATAATGTCCTTCTCCAAAGATTGATGCCTCTTTCCCGCATGCCCAAAATATGTGAGATGGAGCTTCAAAATCTTAACCTCCAAGGAAAAACTTGGTTTCACACTCTCCAAGACATACCTATTTGTTTTCTTGGTGGTCCATGGTATGTTCAAGATTCTTCTCCAGCATACAACTCAAAGGCATCGGTTCTTCTTCTGTCATCCTTAGTCATTGTTCAACTCTCTGATGCACAGCAAGTAATTGCAAAAACCATGAACTGGATCAGGCACACCTTAGTCTCTAGACGGACGTCATTGCTTCTTAGTACTCTGGAAAGGTCCCTGACAGCAGATTTACCTAATGCAATTTGATTTACCAATGTCTTTTGGTTTCCTGACTGCTGGTGCCAAGAGAGTTGATTGTGGAGCCAAGCAAGCTGTAACTGTTAACAACCTCAATCTCTTCTACATCCATCATGGTGCTGCCAATTGACCAAGTGGAGGGAATCTTTGTTTTCTTGATGTTGAGCTTCAAGTCATATTGTAGACTATAGTCCTTGACCTACTGCAGCAAGTACTTCAGGTCCACCTCAGTTTCAGCAAGCAAGGTTGTGTCATCTGCATAACGTTGGTTCTTGATGAGTTTTCCTCCAATCCTGATGCCACATTCTTCCTCATAAAGCCCAGCCTCTTAAATGATGTGTTGTGTATATAGATTGAAAAGGTATGGAGACTGGATGCATCCCTGATGCATTCTGTCCTTATTTTGAACCATGTAGTCTTTCCCTGTGCTGTTCTGAGGACTGCTTCTTGGTCTAAGTATAGGTTATTACACTAGAATGCTGAGAAGACAAAGCAAAGGGAAGAAATCAAGAACTTAAGGAGGTGAATAGATTTAAAAGAGCAGCACGGGAAGACAAAGTATTATAAAGAAAATGTGCAAAGGACAGGAGTAAAAAATATCAAAAGGGCCAAACTCAGGAATTTTTAAACTGAAGGAACTAAAGAACAAATTCAAGCCTTGAGCTGCAATATTTAAGGATGCTATGGGTAGAATGTTGGTTGTATCATTTGCATAAAGCAGGTTGTTGATGAATCTTCCTCCAATCCTGATGCCACATTCCTCCTCATACAGCCCAGAATCCCGGATGATTTATTGTGCTTACAGGTTGAAAAGGTATGGAAACAGAATACATCCCTGGCAGACACCCTTCTTGATTTTGAACCATGCAGTGTCTCCTTGCTCTTTTCTGATGACTTCCTCTTGGTTCAAGTATAGGTTTCACATAAGCAAAATCAAATGTTCTGGGATCCCCATTCTTCTCAGAGTCAGCCACAGTTGTTGTGATTCACACAAACAAAAGGTTTTGCATAGTCAATGAAACACAGATAGACATTCCTCTGGTACTCTGTTTTCTGACAAGATGCATCTAACATTAGCTATATATAGCTAGTACCACAGCGCCGCTTCTAAACCCAGCCTGCACGTCTGGCAAGTCTCTGCTGACGTGTTGCTCCAGTCGTTTTTGGATAATTTTCAGCAGAATCTTGCTTGAATGTGATATTGTTCGATAATTTCCACACTCTGTTGGGACCTTTCTTTGGAATGGGAACAAATCTAGACCTCTTCCAGTCAGTTGGCCAGCTGGCTGTCCTCTAGATTTCTTGGTATACCTTAGTGAGCATAGCCAGGACAGCATCTGTTTGTTGAAATATGTCAATTGGTATGCTTTCAACTCCCGGAGCCTTGTTTTTTGCCAGTTCTTTCAAAGCAGCTTGAATTTCCTCTTTCATCACCACAGGCTCTTGCTCATACGTTGTTTCACGAAATTCTTCTGTGTCAGACAATCCCTTCTTGTACAGTGGCTCTGTATACTCCTTCCATCTTCTTTTAATGCTTCTTGGATCATTTAACATTCTGCCCAACGCGTCCTTATGTATTGCCACTTGTGGCTTGAATTTGTTTTCAATTCCTTCAGCTTGAAAAATGCTCAATGAGTTCAGCCCTTTTGATTTTCTGACTCCAGCTCTTTGCACATTTCAATATAATACCTTGCTTTGTCATCCTGAGCTGCCCTTTGAAATTTTCTGTTCAACTCTTTAATTTCTTAATTTCTTTCTTTAGCTTTGGCTTCTTGACACTCTAATGCAATATTCAGAGTCTTATCTGACATCCACCTTGGTCTTCTCTTCCTTTTCTGCCTTTGTAATGATCTTTTGCATTCTTCATGGATGATATTCTTGATATCCTCCCACAGCTCATTTGGTCTTCATTCATTTGTGTTCAAAGATTCAAACCTATTCTTGAGATGGTTTTTAAATTCAAGAGATATAGACTTAAGGTCAAATTTCGGTTTCTGTGGATTTTATTTTATTTTCTTCAACTTCATCTTGAACTTGCATATGAGTAGCTGGTAGTCTGTTCCACAATTAGCACCTGGTCTGGTTTTCACAGCTGATATTGAGCTTCCCCAGGGATTCTTTCCACAGATGTAATCGGTTTGATACCTATACATACCATCAGGTGAAATCCATGTGTATAGTCTGTTTGTATTTCTTATAAAAGGTATTTGCAATAAATAAATCATTGAATGTGCAAAATTCTATCATTCTATCTCCAGCTTCATGTCTATCACCAAGTCCCTGTTTTCCAGCTACTGATTCTTCTTCCCAGTCCCCAACCTCTGCGTTCCAGTAACCCATTATTATCAGTGCATCTTGATTGCATGTTTGATCGATTTCTGACTACAGAAGTTGGTTGGTAGAAATCTTCTATTTCCTCCTCTTTGGCTCTAGTTATCAGTGCATATATTTGAATGATAGGGTATGCATATGGATATTACCCTGTCACTCACCACATTGTATTTCATGATGGATCTAGAAATGACTTTTTTTATTATGAAAGAAACCTCATTTTTTTTCTCACCTTTTCATCCCCTACATAGTAGATCATATGATCATCTGATTCAAAATCTTATGATTCAAGATCATATGATTCAAAATGTTCCATACAAAGCCATCTCACTTCGCCAACCCTTTGTAAGTCAATATTTATGAATTTTTTTAATAATGTACAATTTTCCTACATTCATGCTTCTCACATTCCACATTCCAATCACTACTGTCTGCTTACAGCTGTTCCTCCTTCTTTGTGTTTCCATATCTGACATTTCAGCCTCAATTGCCATGCCTGCTAGTCTAAGTGCTCTATTGTACATAGGGTTTTCAAAGGCCTGTTATTTCAGAAGTGGATGGCCAATCCTTCTCCCTAGTATGCAGATGGCACAACCCTGCTTTCTGAAACTGAGGAGAACCTGAAGCACTTGTTGCAGAAAGCCAAGGACTGAAGCCTTCAATATGGGTTGAAGCTCAACATCAAGAAAACAAAGATTCTCATCACTGGGCCAATTGGCAACATCATTATGGATGGCAAAGAGATTGAGATTGTTAACGGTTTTAGTTTGATTGGTTCCACAATCAACACTCTTGGTGCCAACAGCCAGGAAATCTAGAGATGAATTGCATTAAGAAAGTCAGCTGTCAAGAACCTCTCCAGAGTACTGAAGAGAAACAATGTCAGCCTGGAGACTAAGGTGCACCTGATTCAGGCCATAGTCTTCATAATTACATGATATGTGTTAGAGAGCTGGACAGTGACTAGGGATGGTAGAAAGAAAATTGATGCCTTTGAGCTGTGGTACTGGAGAAGAGTGTTGAATTTATACCATGGACTGCTAGGAGA